TCCTTCCTTCCTTCCTTCCTTCCTTCCTTCCTTCCTTTGATTATTCATCTCCTTCTTTCTACCCATGTCCTTTCTTCCTTCCTTTGATTATTCATCTCCTTTCTACCCATGTCCTTCCTTCCTTCCTGCTTTACTTCCTTCCTTCCTTCCTTTGATTATTCATCTCCTTCTTTCTACCCATGTCCTTTCTTCCTTCCTTTGATTATTCATCTCCTTTCTACCCACTTCCTTCCTTCCTTCCTTCCTTCCTTCCTTCCTTCCTTCCTTTGATTATTCATCTCCTTCTTTCTACCCATGTCCTTTCTTCCTTCCTTTGATTATTCATCTCCTTTCTACCCGTCCATCCTTCCTTCCTTCCGTCCTACTTCCTTCCTTCCTTCCTTCCATTATTCATCTCCTCCTTTCTACCCATGTCCGTCCTTCCTTCTATTATTCATCTCCTTTCTACCCATGTCCTTCCTTCCTTCCTTCCTTCCTTCCTTTATTCATCTCCTTTCTACCCATATCCTTCCTTCCCTCCTTCCTTCCTTCCTTCCTTCCTTCCTTCCTTCCTTAGATTATTATTATCTCCTTTCCTCCCCTTGTCCTTCCTTCCTTCCACATGACTGCCCATCTTAATCAAATAACGTGGAGTAGCTTAGAGCCTCACTTTGAAGGAGATGGACAGTTTAGAAACATGAAATATAAACAAATAGCTATAGTTTGTTTTGAACATTCCTTGTTTGCAGTAAATAATGTTATAATATATTCAGAATTTTTTGGGGGGGAAGTAAGGAATTTTTTTAAAAAACATTAATTTTTCTCCTAGGAACTTCTGTGCAGTGAAGTACGCGAAGGTCAGTTTGTCTTAGAATGTGATGCAGTATGCAAAGAAATGAAACGGAAAGCTTCTGAGGTAATTTGTCATTTGCAATTACAATATATTGCTGCTATTTTGAGTGATGAAAATGTGTGCAGGATTACTTACCAAATTATTGGGTAGGCCAATTAAACAGAAATTGCATGTTAATTTTTGTATGTAGTGCAGAGATGGTACTCTACCAGTTCAGACCAGTTCGCCCGAACCGGTAGCAGAAATTGCGGCTGGCCCCGCCCACTCACCCCAGCTCTACGGCATCTCATTTAGGTCCTTTTTTTCACCAAAAGCGCATGCGCGGAAGGCTGTGTGCATTCGCAGAGGTGACGTGTGCGCTCACATTTGTGAACCGGTAGGGAAAAGAAGTCACTACCACCCCTGATGTAGTGCGAATAAAGCAGAGAGTCACCAAATGGGATTGAATCTGGCTGAATGAGCTGAGCCAAGAACAGCGCAGAGTTAGATTAAATATTGTAGGGGATGTTGCCTTTGTATAATATAACATAATCCATTTCCATTGTCTTGCTCTTTAATGCTATGTGCCCTCACACATTTTAGGTTGCAGTAATTTTAACTCTTATTTATTCCTCTGTTTTTTTCTATAACTTACATGGGGGTGTTTCTTGAGCCTTTTTATAGATGTACATCTTCATTTGGTGGGAAATGCACTGCCCTCTCTGCCTTGCTATTCTGCACTGCCTGGTCTGTTATATTTTAGGTGTAATAATTTACTGGATGTAGCTGTTGTCATTTCAAAACTCTGCTTTTGTTGATGCGTGCGCTTGGCTGTGGTTTTTATCATTTGACAGTTGAGTGTGTACCCCATCCGTTTTGTGAATGCAATTTCAGTTATAAGAGGGTGATACGGAATAGTAGTTTGGTCTAGCGGTTAAGGCATCAGGCTAGAAGCCAGGAGACTTGAGTTCTAATCCCACTTTAGGCATGAAAGCTGGGTGGGTGACTTTTGAACAGTCGCCCTCTATCAGCCCAACCTAACCTCTCAGGATTGTTGTTGTGGGGGAAGTAGGAGGAGGAAGGAATATTAGGTCCATTCACCACCTTGAGTTATTTAGAAAATAATAAAAGCAGAAAATAAACACATGAAATGCATTTAACAGCCAAGATGCGACAAGCCTCAGGCCTCTGTACCATTCTATTTTGAACGATTTGAGCTACTGTATTTTTCGGATTATAAGACGCACGTTTTTTCCTCCCAAAGGAGGGTGAAAAACTGGGTGCGTCTTATACACTGAATACAGCATTTTTGGCCTACAGAAACCCTGCCTCCTTCACAAAATTGGACATGCAGAGGGTTTGGGAGGCCTGCAAAGTACTCCTGGGGGCTGGGGAGGGCAAAAACGGGCCATTTTTTCCTCGTTTTTGCCCCCTCCCAGCCCACAGGAGGACTCTGCAAGCCTCCTAAAGGCTATTCATGCCCCTTTTGGGGCAAAAAAACAGGCCCGTTTTTGTAAAAAAAAAAAATCCCGGTCTTTTTTGCTCATTTTTGCCCCCAGCCCCCAGGAGCATTTTGTAGGCCTCTCAAACGCTCTACCTGCCCCATTTTTCACAAAAAATGAGGCATACAGAGTGTTTGCGTGGTCTGCAGAGTGCAAAACCTTTTTTTTAATTTACCTTTTCAAAATCTTAGTGCGTCTTATACTCCGAAAAATATGGTGTTTTTAATGGGAATTAAAGTTACGCTGAAAAAACTCTAGTGTAAGAATAATGATATTAATAACATATCTCTGTATGTGGTGATCATAATTCTGAGTGATTGAAAAATAATACATATCTGTTTTAAAGCTGGAAAAATTCCATATAGTAACTACGATGTTTCTGGCATGACCTTAGATCAGCCTGCTCTGCTCTGTGGAAATTTTACTGGGCAGCATATTAATCATAGGGTGAACTATAGCTAAGTTACAGCTTTCTTAATAATTATATTTAATGAATAGGCATTGCCAATGCAAATAAAAAGCATTTACATTATGGCGTTCCAACCAAGAAATAAGAAAAAGGGCTGTGGGTTACAAAAAGCTTTCCTTCTAAAGTCAAATGGGCTAATTTGGAACATATTTTAATTTATTCAATGAGGGCACGATGCTGCATTCCCAGTTTGTCACTTCTGAGCCTTGGCATGTTGTATGCCAGATGGCAGTGCAGCAACTTGTGCCAAAAAAAGAAAGGAAAATATGTAGTTATTAATGTGAGACACCCAAATTAGTCCATTTGACTTTAGAAGGAAAGCTTTTTTGTAACGCCACTACACTTGATCTTAGCCAAAAGGGCCGAGAAGCATTATTGGTAAACTGCATGCCGAACACCTAAACTATGAACTTCAGGATTGGCTAATTTTAGGGGGGGGATAATCAAAGATGAACCAGCCGGTTTTAAAGAAGGAAAGATCTACGGTGGATCATATCTTGGTACTCCACCATTTAGTACAAAAATACACATTAAAAAAATCCTCTCTTTTTTTTTTTTTTGCATGTTTATTTTTTATTTTTTATTACATAGACAACAATGGGAAAAGGAGAAGAAAAAAAAGGGGGGAAAAACCCCATCATCACATACAATATGTCATTTGATCACAGGTGCATCCCTACTACGTTTAT